TTCTCCTGCTACATATAAGCGTTTTAAATTTTCATTAATTTGAACTATACGAATAAATTCATCATGTTGCAGCACATCTTTTAATTGGTTTTCTGGACAGTTTTGAGTAATACATTGCCAAATTTGAACTTCTTGTTGATTGTTATTTAATGTTTGTTCTAAACTATTAGAGTCTAAATTAAAAGAATTAATAGTTGTATTTGTTTGTTTATTAGAAAATTTGTTTCGTGCACTAGTACATTGTTGTTGAATATCAAGACTAGGATCAATTTCTACCATATACACTTCACACAGTTTCTTAATTTCAGACTTATTTTTTATTTTTTTGTATACTTGGTTTTTATCTTCACTAAATAAAGGTGAATTTGATAAATGTCTCAAGTGACCATCCCATACATGTGAATAACAATTATAATGAGTTTTAACAGATTCTTTGCATCCAGGAAATACACATAACCAACTTTTTTTCTTATTTGTTTGGTTGGGCGTTTCACTCATTTTTTATTGTTTTTTAAAGATTTTTATTTTATTATTTTTTGTTTTTATTTTGATTCTACAAAACTATTTGTTTGTATATCAGAAAAAATAACAGAAATATACTTTTAATGTTTTATATCGTTGAATTGTTTAGAATAACGTCGTTTAACTAAAAAATCATATCATCAATCATTTCTTAATTATTTTGTAAAATTCTATAGACTTTTATTGCTTTGATAAAGATATGTTTAATAATAATAATTTAATTTATAACCATTTTAATAAAACCAATAAGACTGGATAAGGTTGTGTTAAAATATAATTTAACTTGTTTGTTTAATGATTTGAATATTTTTAATAAATATGGTTATCTTGTAGTTGTGATGTATTATTGTTCAATTTCTAATAATACAACATAACTTATTTAATTTTAATTTTTACAATATATTTCTCTTTTTTATTTCTCTTAAACACTTATTGAGAAGATCATATTTTTCTATCTTCAATATTTTAATAAATTTCTATAGTTGTAGTTTTATCACAATACTAAACTTTTTCATTTTTAGTATATTTGAAATATAATATCATTGGTTAATATGAATAAAAAGACTATTGTATGTATTTATGTTAATATCCTAATTAAAAAATATATAAATTGGTTTTGATATATTTGGAAGAACTTTGGATATATGTTATGAAAAACACTATTTATTCAATAAATAAACAATTTTTCTGTTATATGGATTAATTGTAATACACATATTATACTATCCATCATTATTTAACTGATATTTAATAATAGTTGATTATTTTCATATACTCTGTTTTTAATCCTTGTATAAATAGTATAATTGTATTAGTAAATTATACACTTGTTACTAAAAAGAAAATTGATAAGTAGTAGTTATTAAAATAATTTGTAAAATACAGAGTTAACAAAAAACCACAAACCGGATGATAAAACTTGAACCAATTTATATGTAAAATTAAATGAGTAATTATTTCTTCATTAATAATTTAATTAAAATGAAAATAAAATACAATATTTGTTGATGGGATTTATATTCTTATTCTTTTAAGTCAGCACAAAAATATTTAAACATAAATTTTAATAAGAATAAATTAGATAATAATAAAGAAATTAAACAGAAAGATAAAAAAAGATACAGTTGTATTAATTATTTTTAGTTGATAAAAATGATTGATACACTGAAACAAGTAAAAAATAAAATATAATGTATCTGTGTTAGTAAAAATAATGGATAATGTTTATTATTAAATTTCATTTATGTTAATGTTAGATAAGGGAGATATGACTAAAGAATAAACAAAAAGGAACAATGAAAAACAAATAAAGGATAATAATAAAAAACTGTTTATTTAGTTATTTTTATATTTTATTAGAATTTTAAATAAATTAATTAATTAAGTATTAATAGAACTAGCTT